ACAGTGCTAAACAATAACAAGGATAGTAATACAAGAATTATTCTAGAATGGGTAACATTTCAAGGGTAAATGCTAGTCAAAATCGGACAAGGGGTAGTGATGATCTTGGGCAAAAATCAAGTGTAACAGTGTGAAATGGCTTCTTATAAAAAACAGTACTTTTACAAGTTATGATATCAAATATTATATTAATTATATTTAACCACTCTTATATGGAGTTGAACTGGTATTTTGTAATTTGACCTGTGAAGTATTAATCACTATACTATGAACCTATAGATCTTTAATAACAATAACAATTATTATAATAACAAACAATATCAATTATATTCTAATATCTATATCAACAAAGGTCACACCTCTAAAATTAGTACCAATGTAAAGGTCAGACAATTGACTTCTTTTTAGATATCTCTTTTGTTTATATAGATCTTATAGTTTAAATAACCTAATTTTATTTCAATAGTCCATGTTATTGTATTGTAGCTTCAGTTTATTTTTCCTTTTAATTTTCTTTTCTTTTTTATTTTTTTTACATTCAATTAAAAATTTTGAGTAAATAGGTATAACTGTTATTTAATTATATTAACATATATAATATTGTTTTAAAACCTTTTCAATATTAGTTAGATATAAATGTGTAGGCAAGCTAGCATTTAACTTGTTATATGCTTTGTACCCAAGAGATATTATTTCTTTTTCAAGTGTATATAACTTTATAAATATAATACAATAAATAAAAAAATGATAATTATTTACTGAAATATATATATATATATATATATATATATTGTACTTCATGGGTTTTAATAAATAATTTGAAAATAATAAATGATTTGATTAAAAAAATTATAAATTATAGATATTATAAGGTTTTTAAGAAATAATAAAGGTTTGATAAAATCAGAACACTATGAAAAATAAGAAAAAAGTAATAAAAAAAAAGTGTCAATCAATAGAGTTCCTCTGATAACAACTGAAAATGTATTAGGTAAAGTATTACAAAAGACACGCGGACATTAATACGACGTGAATTTTAAGATTGATGAACTCCAAAAAGATGTTTTGCAAAAAAACTTAATTTAAGATTTCCAAAAAAAGAAACAATGCAGATTCTAATTAGATTTATACTTTTTTGATTTTCAAGTACAAAAGGTTAAATTGGAAGATAGACAAAGAACCTTCGTTTTCATGGTCTCATTCTTTCCACGTATGTGCTATTGCGTTCTTATATAAAAAGAGAAACAAAATCACTAAAAATTTTTTTATTACCGGTATATGGTATATATTATGATCATACTAGGCCGAGGCTAAAATTTTTGGCACAGGAACTCTTGTTTTCGTCCTTTATTTACAATTGAAAAAAAGGAAAAAGAAATAGAAAAATGAAGGAAAAAATCAATGCGCATTTATTTGATTTATTGATCGAACACGAGAACACTTGAATATGCTAATGAATGTATGGGAAAACTTACAAACTTTATCCGACGAAATAAAGAATCTTAGTTCCGTTTCCTAGAGTCAAATATTGGCGTTATTTCAATTAGACATCACAATTATAAATAGGACTCTTCGAATTATTTCTCCTCACAAATTCAACATGAGCCAGTTGAGTAATATTGATATATTAATAAAATAAAGTTATTAACGAAACTCATTATTATCTCTATTATTAACTCTTTAATATGCAGAACAACAAATGGCCTAAACTTTACAGCACCTACTATTTTATTGATAGGGAAGACAGGCAAGTATCACCAAAGATTTTGTGCATTTATTTCTTCCATTAATTAAGATAACAAATTATATAAAAAGGTGCCGGAAAAAGTACTCTTGGTAATTTGCTTCTTGGCCAGCCGCACGATGAAGGTCCTTTTCATGTATCAGGGGGTATGGTGAGTGGTAAAAATTACATTCGGCATGAATTCATTTTCAATTTGGTTTCGTTTTTAACAATGAAACTGTACAGGAATCTTGTACTCAAGAATGTTTCACGTCGATGGTGAACATCGATGGCGTCAATTATAACCTCGTTGACACACCTGGCATCCTCGATACACAAAAGCCAACGAGTGAGATCTTTGAAAAAATTGCGAAAACAGTCCAACAGTGTGCATACGGTATCAAAGCCATCCTTTTCGTCTTTGGTATGCAATAACTTAATAAGATATCGTTCCTTTAAGTTTGCTGATGAAATCTTTTAAAGTTCAGTTATTTTTTCTTATAGAGGCAAGGCGATTTACTGATGAACAAAAAAAAGTCTTACAAGGAATAACAATGTTTCTTGGTGAAGAGGCAATGAATTATATTATCGCTATTTTTTCCCGAACGACTAAAAAACAAAATAGTAGCAGGGATGAAATGCGAAAAGCTTGGAATCCAGTCGTTTCCTCATTCATCGACCAAATAGACAACCGCTGGGGAATATCTCCAGATTCGGACCACTTCCTTCCAGACGATCCAATTCACAAAGCTCGATTGGGGGAGATAAGGGCATTTATCGCTGGTACACGCGGCATTTATACAACTAAAGCGTTTGAACTTGCTCGTCAAATGAAAGAAGAAAATGAACGTAGAAAACAGGAGGAAGAAAGACGGGCAAGAGAAGAATACGAAAAAAATTTAAAAACAGAGGGTAAGAATGAAGCCGAAAAAATTTATCAAGAAAGATATGATGAAATGCAAAAGGATTACGACAAAAGATACGAGGAATCTCTAAAGAGCACAATAGAAGGCATGAGACAAAAATATGAGTCTCAAATTGCAGAAATAGAAGCGAGAAGAGTTGAAGCGGAAAGAATTTCTCGAGAGAGACTCGCAGAAGCGGAGGCCAGAAGAGCTGAGGCCGAAAGAGTTCAGCATGAGAACATTTCTGAAATGAAAAGAGGACTCGCAGAAGCGGAGGCCAGAAGAGCTGAGTCCGAAAGAATTCACCTCGAGAAACTTTATCAAGTGAAAGAAGAATTTAATCAAAGAGAGCATGAAATTATTCGATCACGTGATTCAGAAATTGCAGGACTCCGGTCGCAAATTGATAATTTGCGAAGAGATGTAATAATAATTTTATGATTATATTTTACAAGATGAAACCCTGAGAAGAGTTTAATACTGGCGTATGTTTACTATTTTTTTTAATTATAGGAAGGCTGTTTTGCTCTTGACACGAAAGTGCAACTTGCAAGCGGTAAAATGATAGAGATGAAAGAACTTCAAGTTGGAGATTATGTTCTCAGCGACGTTAGAAACAACAAACCAGAATTTTCAGAAGTTTATTTAATATCTCATATGGGGCATCACGATGGTTTCTTAGAAATGGTAAGAGTTGAATTCACCAACCCCGATGGTAGCAAAGGTAATTTATTATTTTCTTTATGCGCCTTCGTTTAATTTTTATGACTCAAAGTGCATTTATTTTCAAGCAGGTCACATCCGCACGACACCTAAGCATTACATATTCCGTAGCGATCTATCGATTTTGTATGCTCGAGATGTGGTGCCTAAAGAGACTAGAATTCTAGTTTTGAATAAGTCAAATGAACTTATCTCTGTTACAGTTGATAGCTTGTTTATAGTAAGTTTGTTAATCTACTTAAAATACTGCGTCTTCATGTTCTTAATTCTAAACCATCTTTTTTTAAATTAGGAACAAGACACTGGATACATTGGTTTCTACACACGCGCTGGTACCGTAATTGCAAATAATATTTTGTGTTCATGCTATGACGACTGTCCGCCATCACAAGCTCTGATGGATCTGGTATTTGCACCGATTCGGTTGTGGACTAAAGTTTTCCCTTCTAACCATCGTCAAAAAGAACTCCATCCATATGTGCAAATTTTGGAGACTGTTTATTCCAAAGTATTGAATATTTTCCAAAAGAATTAAAATTATTTTTCTACATTAAAAAAATGATAGATAAAACACATTGGTTTACGTAAAGGCAAACTAAATTCTGATTTGTACTTTCTGAAGGGTAAATAAATAATTTTTTAAGCTCAATAATTATAAATTTCATTATTAATGAATAAAATCATTGATGATTGTTATTAATTTAATACTATTATTTTCAAATATTTTGTTATTGCTTATTGAAAAAGTAAAATCGCAACTCTTTATCACAAGTGAGCTCCAGCTCAAGAACTTAAGAACCTTTAAGACAACTGGTACAGTAAAATGAACTTTTGGTCAAAATCTATTCAAGTTTGAAAGTTTTGCTTATCTTTCAGTTGCATAAGAAAAAGTCTATGGCAGTTCTCTTTTTTTTTGTTCTTTTGCATTCCTTTTTATCTTTACTATATCAATATCATTATACTTACTAAACTAAATACTTTCCAAAAAATATATTCAAATAAAGTTGTTAGGTTTATTGTTTGTTTTAATATAATTTTTATATATAACTTTACTATAATATTACTTATTGTACTATTTCAAAATTTTCAAAAATTTTTCTCTATAAAACTGAAATCAATTTATCTCCTTCAAACAATCATTACTTTTTAAGTATCCAATCAGATTTTGTTAAAACAATAAAACAAAAACTGAACCTATTTAAACCAGGTTTTCAATATAACAACAATAACAATAACAATATTATTATTATTATTATTATGTATTAGCATAATTGTCTGGCTGGAAGTTGTTTTTTTTTTTTTTTATAGTAGAACAGCATTAGATACAGATTTTTATTGAATTACTCCAATTTGGATATATTAAACACCCTCTATTACATTGTAACAGCTAAATACTAGTCTATCTACTTTGATATCCAAAGATATGCTAGTCACTCTTAAAGTGGATCATATATTTTTAGAGGGGACCTATTTAGGAGTGGAAATCCTATCACTAGTTTAAATCACCTAACCTACTGGTACAACTTGTGTAAGGGCAAATAGGAACTATTGATGACTTACATAATTAATCTATCATGTCATATCTTTTTGCTCATGCAGTTAATGTGACAGAGGGGTCCAGCCGAGTTGCCCATGTATGCACTTCCTAGTAAATACTCTGAATTAACACCACAGTACAATGTGTCCTTTGACTACTGGTTGGTTAAAGCTACCAAATCTAGGGGCCATATTTAGCCAGATAAGATGCCACTCCTTAAGGACTCTCAGGCTATACTATGAAGACTCCTGGTTTTTCTTAATTTCCTAGCTGACAAACCAGTTCAGGATCGATTGATGTAAGCTGCCAAATCTAGGGGCATGAATGTCAAGCAAGGCACAACTCCTATATACAACACCTGTTAGGGTCTGGCTGAAAGTTATTACTATAACAAATGTTTATATTTATTTAAAATAATGCTACCTAAGATAATGCTATAATGTATTAGTACTAGTAACATTCAATTATTATTGAAATTACTTCAAATAATAATGTTTGCTTTAACTTATTCCTAATTTACATTAGGTATAGAAACTAATCTACTGAACAAAGAAATATCTTTATTTGGTTAGTAGCATATATGTTTACTAATAACTGATTAAGTAATATTTATATTGGGAGGGATTAAGGATGAGTTTTTAAAGAGAGGCATTGGAAGTAATATCTTATAATAAATAAAACTACATAATCTTTACTTGTTCTATTGAAAATAAATCTCTTTACTATTACTTGCAGTTGAGCTAATCATTTAATTTCTTACCTATTCAAATGATATATAAGAGTATTCAAGATACTTATAACTGATACTTACTACCTGAACATCAATTTACATAACTTTGCAGGAAACAGAACTTATTGTCAAATGCCTTTTTGAAATAAGTATTACCAGACTGGTTTATTACTGGATTAGAATAAGACTAAAGCATGGATTTGTATGAAAAACATCAAATATTAGAGAAACAATTATTAAATCTACTCATTGAAAGTGAACATTTTATATAATCTTGCAACTTTTAACTATTATCATAACTAAAGATGGGTCCCTAAATTAAAGGCAAGGACATAATTCAAATGTCTCTCACTATTAAAAAAGTTTTTTTTTAAAT